TGTGTAAGTGTTCTATACAGACTTAGTGTATCTAAGCTGTAGCTTAGTTAAAGGAAATAGTACAGGTCTTCTAGTTAGTGTAAGTAATTAGTTCTAGTATTATTCTGAGAATCTTATTAACTAGTTTTAGGTTAAGAGCTTTTTCAAGTATTCTAATAAGAACATTGTTAAATCCAAGTATGAATCCTACCTTCTAGGCTAGGATATTAAACTCCTAAAAGAAGGTATTAGCAGAATGTTTACTCTGTCACAAAGATGTAAGCTTGTTCTGTGTATTATACTTCTTGTTTAGATTAATAAAGGAAGTACAAAGCTACCTTATGAATTCTGAGTATGACTCATTGTTCTAAAGTCAGATTAGACTTCTAATCTAATAACCTTCAATCCAGTTCTAGGCTCAGGTGGCTATATTACCTTCCTTTATAAAGGAGAGGACAAATAGGACACAATTAAGATCTGAGGATAGATTGGTCAAAGTAGTAGCTACATATAGTTTGACTTAGTGTTAGAAGTTCTTAAAGTACTGTCTATTAAAGTCTGAAGGGCAGGCTACATGTAATTTATTTCTAGAATAGGTTACAACTTCTGGAACAATTAGAATAGGTTCTAAAGGGGCTAGAGGTACATAGTTAGTAAAAGTCTCTTAAATAGAGGTCTGTATGTATTAAGCTAGGTCTACTTATAACTACTAATCTGGTAGGACAGTAAGGGTGACAGTTAGCTTAGAAGGGTCCATGTTTACACTACAAAGGAATCAACACTAAACTAAAAAGGGTAATGAATAGAAGAAGAGTGGCAAAAGTTTAAAAGGGTTTAGAAAGTTTAAAATTTAAAAATGTAAAAAGGTTAGAACAAAGAGAAGAGATTGACACAATAGTGAGTACTAATGCCTGAAATGTAGGAGAGTTGTAGGGTAGTAATAGATAGTCTTAATCTAATGTTAGTAACAGTGTAGAGGGGACCTGAAGGCTTAGTAAGAGGACCTAGGCTACAACTATCCTACACAACAGAAATACAGAATGTAAGTACTAGAACATAGTTAGAACTTGTAGAACAGACAGAGAGAGAGAGTAAGACAAGAGTAGAGTATATAGAGTAAGCTTAAGAGTACAGAACTATCTAGAGTAAACAAGATTAAGACTACAGAACTAGTCTGATCTTGTATACCTATATATACTAAACTATACAAGAGTACTCAGAGAATAGTAAGTTACTAAGAATGATAAGTTATGAAGAAATGAAGGAAGGGAAGGTTAAAGATAAATGTACAAAGAATGAAGGGATAGACAAAGGGTAGGAGACTATAGAATGAACAAAGAATGAAGGGGTAGACAAAGGAACAGAATAATAAAGTAAGGAGGGGTAGTAGTAAGAGTTATAGAGAGAGTCAGCCTATATATAGTCTATAAACAGTACTCCTAAGAGACAAAAGTCCTGAGTTCTAGTACAGAAGGGTGTAGAACCTATAGAACTGAAGGTGTAAGGGTAGAGAATTGTAACATCCTCCTTCAGTTACTAGGGAAATAAAATTATATACAAACAATCCTAGTATACTTATTCTATCAAAACAGACTCATTCAGAGTCAAATCAGTAAATATTGCCAAATATCTTACACAGGGCCAAATATCTCACATAGGGCCAAATATCTTACACAGTAACATATATGAACAATGAAAACAATCTGGCATTATTGTCTCTCTAATTTTCTAGCATTAATAAGTAGGCTAATCATTATTTCTCTTATCTTTTTTCAAATATTTAGTAATAATACATAGAGTTTGTAGTATATAGCTGTACATTTATGTTTATAGTACTGATTGTCACAAATAATCAGATAACAAGGCAACTGTAAGGAGATTGAGATTTGTTTTTATAAAGATAGAATCATAACAAGAGCTTCCTATACTCTTAAAAGGTGACAATATGTATAAAGTATACAAATATTTGAAATGAAGGGGAAGAAGTAGTAAGTATTATCAATCTTGTCTACATTTGAATTTGTCTACAATTAGAGGAGATCTGCAATTATACATTATCTTAGCTAACTCAAGTATTGTAACAGTATTGTACTACCAAACTTAGACTTTGTATTACTATTATTAACCTTTGTCTACCATGAATTAGATTGTAAGAGGCTAGCTAGAGTGTAAGCAGAGTGGTCTCAAGTAGATGAATCCTTACTGTATCAGAAATCAAAGAAGTACACTTTCATATAATGGTAAAAAGATTTTTATGTGAATACAATCAGATTGTATTATGATAACAGTACTGTCAACTCAGAATCATATAAGTCCTTCACTCCTAGTCACTTCCTCTTTCTAACAACTATCATCTAGTCATTTTGTCTATTACTACTCAGCTAAGCATAATATCTTTACAATGTCTATACTTTGTACCCATCATTGTAAGTCTGTATAATTTTACAATACAATATACTGAACAAAGTACTAGTGTTTACTAGATTGTTTATCACACCAATCTTCCAGCCAGCAAAACATGTACTCTAGAGTGTTCTCTATTCTGCCAAATAAAGCTCTTTAAAATCTGAATGTTACACTAGTGTCTCTGAACAAGACACTTAACAAGAAGTACTAGTACAAAGAACTCAGAACACCTAATGCCTACTGTTTTCTTTAGTAGGAGGTTTCCCTCCTTAATATAATACATTGTTAATTACTCAAGCAGATTATACAATACTACTCACTACTATGTAGTAAGACATTTGTCATGTCAGAATAATTGTCTAACAACCATTTCACAGTATCTTCAACTTCAACATACATTAGATGATCTCAGGGTTAAAGATCCAGAAAGTAACAGCTATTTATTGTTTGATTCAGAACACAGTTGTGAAAGATAGAAAGTTAACTATTACTATAATTATTTTCTATAATTTAAGCTCTTTTAGTAATATAAACTACTAATAGGAAATTATGTATTAATAAGATTTACTGTGTGTTCTATTGAGTACATTTATAAGAATATTCTGTAGACCTTGAGAAAGCTATAAATACTCTTATTAAAAGTACTTCAGATAACTATACTTTAATATATGTATTAGACCAAGTTGAGTTAGAAAATCAGATTTTAATAGATAAGCAGAATGTCTCTTTTGAATGGTTTAAGGTTTGTCAATCTATAACCTAGTTTTCTGAATAAATTCTTATACATTCTAGGATTTCATGACAGAGAAAAGTAAAGAGTTAATACATTGTGAGTTATTAGACTATACTAAAATTGTATACATTCTCTCACCAGACCTAGTTACTGTATTTCTCTACAAACAAGAGGATAGTACAGTGATAGTAAATGCTCATATTAACATTATACTTGAGCCAGTAGTTAATGAGCTTAAAGACATCTTTAAAGAGTTTTTTGACACTACTAAACAAAGTGTATAGTACTTACTTTATACTAAGTACTTTTTAGCATTCTAAAGAACAATAATACAGTAATTCAACAAAGCTGACAGTTCTTAAGCCAACACTTCTTATCTCAATCATACCTGAATCTAGTCACATTTTCTGTATTTCTATCAAGTGTTACTGTGTTAATACTACAAATCAGTACTAGCTAGGCTAACAGTCCAAACCTAAAAGTTAATCCTTTAAGTACACAGTTTACAAACTCACTGTACTTTTGTTTGCTTGTCTCTAGCACTTTGTTAGCTATAATGAGTCTCTTTCTTTTAATATTACTATAATATATCTGGTAAGCATAATACTTAGTACTATATTATAATTACTATAACTAATTAATTTTCAGTCTTTAGATCTGTTATAATCATTACATTACTTTCAAGCCAAATTTATCTGTCTAGTGTCTTCTTAAACTGATAGCTTTTGTAATGTATGGTTGTTAACCATAGGAACATATTTTGAAGCTTTACTTTCCTTCCTTACTAACTTTCTCCTTCTACTAGCAAGTATTTAATAGTTTACTAGAGAAATAACTTGCTGATACAAAGTAAAAATTGTCTCTTAGGAGGAAGGATCTAATATTATGATTACTATAATTGTACTTCCTGTTATAGTCCTAGCATGGATATACAGTAAGACTGGTCCTTTAACTTGTTTATTACTATATTTACACATCTGCAAAGTATTTCCATACTTGGTTCTGAAGATAAAAGAAGGATATACCATTTGTACAGTATAGTACCAAATAATACTAGAATGGTGTAGGTCAAATATTGGCCACAAATCATCAGAAAATAATAACCCTGAGTCAGGTATACTGTCTGTATTACTGAATCCTCTAGCATATAACTCTAGAACATATTCTAGGCCAGTGTATCTCTCTAGTACAAAGTCCTATAGAAGAGCAGAGGGCTGAACTATTCTCTGTTGTAAGAGAAAATGTAATAGCTAATAGTACTAAGACTGGTGAGTCAGTTATATCTATCATTACTTATATTTTTTACAAGAATGCTTGAAATTACTGCTTAACAGATAATGCCCCTGACATTGTACCTATCGTTGTGATTGATACTCACAAGGAATCTGTGTTTCACACAACAGTTCATACAACAGAGGCAACTGGATTAGAGAATTCACCAACTCTTCCTAATGAGGCTCCTAGAGACAATGGACCCCTTTGAGCCAAGTTGGACCAGTTAGACCAGTCATGGTTTATGTGTGTCACACGTGTATTTCAACGTTGCTAGCAAACTGCATTTCGTGTACTAAATACCCATCCTCTGGTCATGCATCTGTAGTCTTGCAAATTGCTCTATGTACTGCTTTGCCTATCTTACACCAATTCTTGTTCCTGTGCAGAATATACATATGTCGTTTCTTAATTGTAAGGACCATTGCTGTGAAAGTAGCTAATGCAACATTAACACAATTTGCAAGTATATATACTTATCTGAAATAGTACTCAATATACGATACAGATGGAGCGGAAAGTCTAGATGCATGCTCCTTCATTAATGGTATATCATGTCTTGATTCATTTTCATTTCTATGCAGTGGTCGTACACGAGAGTAATTCCGTATCAAAGTCCACTCAAATCAAGGTCCAAAATCTCCACACTCGTCCCATTAACAAGGAACAAGCTCAACGCTCCATCGCCATCCCCACCTTCCTCAGCCGTAACCAACCTATATCGATCAAAAAGCGGCTCAGCCACGCACCCCTCTTCCACCTCCCATACAACTCTCCAATCTCGAAAATGTCCCTGCGCAGTACTCGCAAGTATACTTAACGCTCTCGAGTTCGCTGCGTTCGAAGGAAGGAGAGCGAGTAGCGAGGATCCGCGTGAGATGAGCTTTCCACGTTTCCCGATGACGGTTGGTGTACCTGTGATGTTATTCGCGCTTGGTGGGTTTAGTTGGGATGGGAGTGGGAATGGCGTGCGTGTCCAGTGTGCTGTTGTGCTACGCCAGTAGTGGTACCATTGTTCGATGCCTGTTATGTTTTCGCGGTTAAGGACGTGAAGACGGCCTTCGCTATCGATTGTTTGGGCTTCTTGGTTGAGTATTCCGCTTCATGATAGCAATATTCGTGTTAGTCCCGTATTTAATGCAATGAATCTAATCAACCCACCCATATTTTGGGATACTGAATATAGTGATACCTGCCGCCGAAGGATAAATCGGCCATTTCTCCGAAAGATTCGCGATTGTCTGATTCCAATTGTTCTGCCATGTTTTCCCGAGGTCGTAGCTCAGCGCGTAGTCCATGTCATGATTCTTCAATGCCGGTTAGCTGTCGCATTGCAATCCATAATCGGGTATAGACTTGCATTTTCTGGGCCGTTCGGACCTGCCTCTACAGCAACGTCCTGGCCTGTATCGTTAATGTAATCGCGGTACGTCCTGGTAGCGCATCATCTTATACACTTTCAATCTCTTCAGAAATGGCTCACCATGATACGTGTAATGCTCCCCGTCCATCAAAATCGAGACCATTAATGTACGCATTGTCTATATTGTATCAGCCCCGAAATCATCCATAAATCACGCCAGGACAACGCACTATTCACACCCTTCGATCCACAAAACCCAATCAATCAATAGTAAAAATCCAGCAGTTGAAGTCACTACACACCTCTAAATATTTCCCAACCTCCGTCCACCCCTGATTCGGTACATACGCATACAACCAATCATCTCCAAGCCCACTCCTCCCTACACGCAACTCCAATAACAAATCCGCTTCCGAATGCGAGGCCGCTTTCGCAGCTGCGGGGAGCGATAAGAATCGCGGATAGGTGATGTTGATGAAGTACGCTGATTTGTCTAGGGTTTCTAGGCCTGGGAGGTAATCCTATTTATGAAGTATTTTTTGGTATAATGAGATATTGTGCGTTAGTTGTAAAAGGATGACGATAATTGGGACGTACGAGAACATCACCGAAGATACCCGCAGACCAAGTGACATTTTGCGGGTTCGTCGCAACACCATGTTTTGTGATGCGATAATGCAGGTTATCATCGTGCTGGTCGAAACCAAGGTGGAGCGTGCCGTCTGTATGCGAGATTCCAAGCGAGATACTTCAAATCGACCCGATTCGAAAAGATAAAATAAGACAGAAATGAAATAGAAAAGACAAACTCGGTCAATAGTATTTCTTTACTAAACTATACGTGCATTAAAAAAGCTCACATATCATGTCCATCATCCAAAGTCTGGTTATAATCCATCAATGTCAACTTCTCCCATCCCTCCTCCTCCGCATTCGTCGAATTCTTCAAGTTCGTAGTAGATAAGACGCGTCTCGCGACAGAAACATACCTCACCGACGCGTTCGTCGACGTGTTCGCATCGTAAAACGCTGCGTATTGATAACCTACGTCCAACGTCCAGATTAAATACCGTCTTCATGTCTAGAGAAAGGGATTTAAGGTGAGTAGGTGAGACGCACCATTAAAGGTCACCAACGCATCCTGCTGGAACGACTCTCCATTCAGCCTATTAACAGTCTGCGGGTCTTCTCCTAGTACAGATCTCCCTAGAATACTTATACTCCCAGCAGCAGAAACCAAGAAGCGAGATAGAGAAATGAGAAACCCCAGAGAAAGCAGACCAGTAGTAGACCTCATTTAAGCAGAGTACTTGACTATCGCTACGAAGGCAAGAACTCATCATCATCAACATATGCAGCAGCAGCCTTAAAGCAATCTTGAAGATACCGGAAGTGCGTCATGGGATTTACACTTGATACAGAAGAGATTGTCGCGTAACTTGAACACGGTCCGCCAAACGGATTTTAACGGTCTTGTGATACGACGCGCATAGCGGGGCCGGTTCACATGGCATAAACCCCTTGATGCCAAAGTTGCAGCGCGCCGACAAACGATCAAAACAAAACGAACCGCTACGGAAAAAACCAGGGATGAAATTCATCAAAAAGTGATATTTATACGTACAAGTCGACTCCCTCCACTTCTACTTCCTCTTTAATATTTAACTTACCAATGGTCAATGAAAAAATGAGGTTTTACTGCTTTATGTTTTCCTCCGGGATAGCTACTTCCAACGCATGGCTGAAATCTGCGATGATATCCGAGATGTGTTCTATTCCCACTGATATCTGTCATCCAAGGTCAGTACCACATCCTTCACCAGACAATATAGAAAAATAGAAAAATAGAAAGGAAGAAGAAATGACAATGGCAAAGACGCACCCTAATAAGATCAGGCGTAACACCCGCCGAAACCTGCTCCTCATCACTCAACTGCTGATGCGTAGTCGTAGCAGGATGAATCACAAGCGTCTTCGCATCCCCAACATTCGCCAAATTACTCGCCAATCTCAACGCATCACATACACCTCTCCCTTCCTTCGCTCCTCCCTTCACACCGAAATTCAATACCCCGCCATATAAATTCGGTCTGAGCAATCGTTTTGCTTCTTGGTGATAATCATGGCTCTCCAACCCAGGGTATTGGACCCAGGCAACCCTTGGGTGGGATTCAAGCCACTGTGCTAAGGCTAGGGCGTTATCACAATGCCTTTCCGCTCTTAATGCAAGTGTCTCGACACCTGTAAGACACAAGAACGCGGAAAAGGGGTTCATCGTCGCTCCGAGGTCACGTAAGATTTCCACCCGAAGCTTGATAGCGAAAGCAGCTGCGCCGAACGTTTCGTGGAACTTCATACCGTGGTACCCCTCTGCGGGTTCTGTGAAGGATGGGAAACGACCGGATTTCGTCCAGTCGAACTTTCCGGCGTCGACGACTACGCCGGCTATTGTGTTGCCGTGGCCTGTTGAAAGTCTCAATTTAGTTTCTTGTATTGTTTGTGTTGTTTGTTTGATGAGTAGGTTACTTACCGTTAATCCATTTTGTTGCGCTGTGTACGACGATGTCTGCACCGTGATCGATCGGCCGGACTAGGTACCCTGTGAAGAAATTGAGCTTCTGCACTTCGAGAAGCTGTATCAAGAATAGCCATACCTCCCATCCCGAAGGCTGCAATGAAGAACCTTTAACCAAATGGAAACAGGACAAAAAATTTACAACTTCCACTCACTGTTATCTACGATCAAAGGAATTCCGTGATCGTGCGCTACCTTAGCCAACTCAGGTAGTGGTGCGATATTATACTTAGGATTCCCGATACTCTCTACGTAGAGAGCTTTTGTCTTATCGTCTATGGCAGCTGCGTACGTCTCGGGTTTGTCGCCTGGGACAAACTTGACTGTTATGCCGTACTTCTTCAAGTACACTTTTAGCTGGTTGTAAGACTGCGCGAAAAAAAAGTTGTGTGAATGTCGTTTCCTGCGTGCTGATTCATAAGCATATACTCACCCCTCCATACAGATATGAAGTTGAGACAATGTTGTCCCCTGTTCCTGCGATCGTAGAGATTGCCATGAACTGGGCAGCGTGCCCACTTGATGCTGCGACTGCTGCGACACCGCCCTCAAGTGCAGCTATACGTTTCTCGAATACGTCAACGGTTGGGTTTCCAATGCGTGAATAAATATTGCCTTCAGAACCATTGTTAGCATGAGCGTAAGATACAAGACAAAGCAAAGATAAGACATACCAAAAGCTTTCAGACCAAAGAGGTCTGCAGCATGTTGAGTGTTATTAAACACGTAGCTGGAAGTCGCGTATATGGGCGGAGCACGAGCGAGCGTCGCCTGGTCCGGGAATTGACCAGCATGTATCTGGAGAGTATCAAACTCGGGTTCCCTTCGACCCTCATTAATGAAAGCCTAACTGTCACGAGAAGAGATAAACATACTTGTAGAAGCGTTGTTCTTCAGCCATGGTTCTCGGTGTCTTCGTTCACGACAGACTTAGAGCAGTTACTGGAGGAAGGGCTAAGGGGATGTGGATGTGGAATCCCGATACCGATAGCAATCCGATTTAACGCGCCTTTTGTAGGACCGTCAAGATGAGAGAGAGAACGAAAAAAGGTTTCATTTGAGCACGCCATCGGTGCACAATTCTGGGTCCAAATTCTCGCATGACCATCCGATGGAAGCAATTCAATTACTAGTGACCAATGAAAATCTTGCTCGTTCGAGAGTTCGAGACACGGAGACTAGGGGCTGGCGGGCGGTTGTGGGAGAAGGTCAATGCACACTTTCTCACTTCATACTAAGCACTTTCAAAACAGAAGACGAGAAGACGGACTCGGAGTCTTTCATGAGGTTCACGGCATGCTGACATAATTATATCACGGGACTCTCTCTCTCCAATGACGACGCGTGCTTAACACAAGCTCCTCAGGACCTCACTCACTCTTAACCAACTCCTGCAGTTATGCCGCCCAAGGCACCAAAGAGAACGACATCCGACTCCTCACCTATAAACGTCAAGCTACTACTCATAGGAAACTCGAGTGTCGGGAAGAGTAGCTTACTACTCCGCTTCTCAGATGAGCAATGGCTTCCAGAAGACGAGGCTAGCGCGACTATCGGAGTCGACTTTCGTGTGCACAAGATGGAGATCAATGGGAAGAAGGTCAAATTGAGTATATGGGTATGCACTTCTTATACTTCTTGGTCTTGGGGTTTCGTGTTTCGTGTTGAAGCCGACTGACGTGAATTCGATTCAAGGACACTGCTGGACAGGAGAGGTTTCGAACTATAACTTCATCTTATTACCGTGGAGCTCAAGGAATTATCCTCGGTAAATATCAATCCTTTTTTGAAATAAGTAATAAGTACGTTGTGCTAATTACCATATTGATATTGATAACAGTGTACGACGTAGCGAATCGCGAGTCATTCGCCGCGCTTCCCCGGTGGTACTCCGAACTAGGAACTTACGTCTCTGATTCAGTAGTCAAGATCCTCGTAGGGAACAAAGTTGACAAGGTCCGTCCTTTCCCCCCCATCCACTAAATCCAAATTCAGTATCCTTCTGACCATCACATTTTACAATTCACACATACCTTTTACGTCTGAAATAGGAATTCTCAAGACAAGTACCCACCAGCGAAGGCGCCGCCTTCGCCCAACGCATGGGCTCCCTATTCGTCGAAGCATCCGCCAAGACAGCCGTCGGTGTCCGCGAAGCCTTTACAGACGTCGTTGAACGTATACTTGATACTCCTGAACTTTGGGCGCCTGTTAGTAACGTTACGCCCGATCGGAACGCTATCCTCAAAGGAGGGGGCAACAATAATAATACGAATAATACGATGCCGGGTAATATCGATCTTAATGCGGACTCGTCGTCGAGTGATGGAGGTGGATGTTCGTGTTAGAGGGTCAGAGGTTAGACATGTGTTATTCTAATTTCTAGATGTCCGGAGTATACCTGGGTTGGTTTTGGACCTTGGGTAACCCGTTGTTCTAGCTCGACTTTGCTTTTGTGAGGTTAGATTCTACTTTCACCTCCCCCCCCACCTTTTCTTTTTCTTGACGAATTGACGACTTACATGACCTGACTCTAACTCTCGGCAATATACATAATACATTTCAGCTTTACACCAAGTGTTTACATGTATACCCCAGCTGCCCCTAATCTGCACATACATGTTGTCTCTGTTGCGCTCCCGTTTTCTGTGCGATTTCAATACACATTCTTTCTGAATCTTACTCGGAAGCTCAGAATGACAATTAACCCATCAATGCCGGGAGGTTAGACTACTAAGAAAACGACCTACCGCTCGACGTGTTCTGAGCAATTCTTAGAGACTTACGAAACCTCTCCCCCCGAAAGAAGCAAAGCAAAATAAAAATAAAAATAAAAAAATAACAAAAGCAGTATCTCAAAAGTCTTTAGAGGTAATAGAAACCAACAAGAACCATCTCTAAATAGTCCTAGAACTTCACTTCTCGTAAATTACCAGATAGGAAAAGATTTTTATTTTATTTTTACGTTTGTTACAGTACCTCTGATTCTTCAGACACATCAGAATCAGACTACTTCTTATCCTATCACAAGTTACTCAGCACCTCACCTACTCATGAGAAAGTGGTGAGACTGGGGAATTTTTATTAAGAAATGGAAAGCAGAAGTGGGGTAGCTGCAGACTTCTATACAGGAGAAGCGACTGCATATTTTATATTTTGGAAGTAGGAGTAGTAGGCAGCGTAACAAGAGTTGGGTATCAGACTATATCGGACCACTTCGTACTGTGAGTTACTGAGAATAATTGAACACCTCACTAATATTAATGAGTGAAATAGAAAAGCCGAGGACCGATGCGGGGTAGCCAAAGACTTCGACATGGAAGGAAACCACTTGCATATTTGAGAAGAGGAAGAAGCCCTCCCTGCCTATCAGTATATCACTGCCAACTGGAAATTTACAAAGCCCGGTTGGGGCGCGTGAAGCATGCCACTCAGAGTCACAGAAGTCAGAGCGCTTCGTGTGGTTCCACATTTCTGCCAGACCCATGACTTCCTTTTTTTTTCCCTGTCTACATTGCGGAATTAGTGGGGTTATCACCCTTTTGAGGTTTGAGAAACAGAGAAAAGCATTGAAGCAAAGTCCGAAGGACGCCGAACAGAAACTTATGGGAATAAGTGGCGTTTTGGTAGTCAGGGTGAGTGTAAATGTGGCAGAGCCTAGTCCGATGTTCTTCGTGCGTCTTTGTCCGTAAGGAGCTTTCCTTGGCAGGTAATTTGTGTAGAAGACTTAAAGAACGTGCGACATATACCAATGTAATTTCGTTGCATATGCATTCACAGGAGGCAGAAACCTATTCTGAGGTGTGGAACATTTGTTTCAGAATGTATTTCCAGCCAATCAGGTAGTAGCTTTCAAATTTTGTAATAAATTCCTAGGTCTCAAAATGGGATTTTGCCTCCTGTGATTGGAACGAGCCATCAGGCCATCTGCGTGGCAACGGTAATTATTTTTCGAATACGCGAGGAGTCCTATAATATACAGCGGGAGGAATTGAAGGCAAGGCAGCTCTATTGATAAATGAAATTGTATCTGCCGCAAAAAATAAGTCATAATTCTCTATTATTGAAAGTTTTCGACGCACCGAGAAAGCAGATGAGGAATCGCAGACAGCTGTGGACCATAACTATAGCGAGTAAAATAAATCAGAGTTAATTGGGCCAAAAAAATCACGACGTACCGTGCGGCATTATCATACAGCTCGAACAGCGGAATTGCAAGTAACTTCATGTTCTTCGGTACGGCAAGGACCTCTGAAAAAGGAAATCCTCTCGTCAATAACGTCTCCCGAACTAGCACTTAAATGAAAACTAACTTTTCTCCGGCATCTGAACAAGGAAGAGCTTCTTACATTCCTTCGGCTTCGTGATGTGCGCGGGTATAAACGGGTACTGTGAAAGCGGACGTTGATAAGTCCAAGCCAAAAAAAAAAAGTTCGATGCTAGATATGTATGGCACGTACCATGAAAGTTTCGAAATTTGGTCTCCACCATTGCGCAAGACAGTCACCTATTTCCCAGTCATTGTCTATACCGTGGGTCGTGTTGAATTGTCGTGACTCGGAGGGCGGCGCTAAGCGCTCGTCAAGTCTCCGCTTCAAGCCTTCGATCTCGTCTTCTCCCGGTTTCAAGTAGTCACCTGGTCTACACGCCAAGTAAGCAAGTAAGCAAGTCAAGAATCCCGAACAACAATTTTATATGCGAAGGGCATACAATTTGAAGAAAGCGTTTGCGATTTGCAGCATGAGAATGTGCGGGTGGCCGTGGTCGTGTACGACAAGAACGCCTTCGACTGTGCGACGCATGCCGAAGTCTTCATAATTGTTTTGTAGTCGCTGCAAACGGGCAGCAACGGATGGATCTTCTTCCGGTTGGGCCTCTTTTGTGCTGACAATTAGCGTCAGCGCTAGTCATGACACCTTGTATGTTCTAAACAAACCTGAAGGTAAAGTTCGACAACGGGTACCTAGAGACGAAAGAGAGCTTAGCAAGCTTTCAGGAAATAAAACGACGTCATACTCACAAAGCAATTGTGTTCGACATCGTCAACGGAGAACAAAGACCTGTCAGGACTCAGAGGTGTGTGTCAACAAGAGACGCGTTGCTGCCGAACTCCGAATCCGGTGAGCACTGTGTCACGTGCATCAAATCTCTAAAGGCTCATGACATCCCGAATCCGGCACTGGCCACACTTGCTTTCTCTCTTTCACGTTCCCCTACCATGAGTGTGCTCGCTGGCACTCACCACAATGCTCACTCGCTCCCCATGCACCCAAATGTACTGCTCAGAGGTAGCGAGCGCATCATGGATGGGCCCTTTGGTGCCGTCACTCAGACTCTTTTGAAGCTTGGATCGTGTCCGATAGAAAATCTCGCACATTCATCAATGGCAGACCTCGAAGGCTTTGATCTGCCTGGTGTCTCCCCGGACATAGAGCTTCTTCCTGTCTCCTCTAAATCATCTCTGGATCAAACCTTAGTGGTTTCGGAAGACAAGGAGAGCCAAAAATTGTCCTCTTCCATGCAGTTCGTGGCTCAGTTATACCAGACTTGCGTCAGAGCTTTCGGTAACGCCGAAGCCCTGAAATTTGAATTTATTGAAGAAACTGGTCAAGAAAATCGTAAGTGCTCGTTTCGTCTATGTCCCGGCCCGTCGGTCTATGAAGCCGGGACTTCTTTTCTTTGCATATATGCTTGTCCAGTATAGACGACTCGCTGTCGCGTAGCCATGTGATATTGGACAACCGTATATGTGGCTTGTTTTTCTGATTTCTCTGTGTCATTTTTCTTGCTGCATTTCCCTTTTTCCAAGCGAATTTCTCACTGAATTACGTTATCTTTATTTCGCACTGACTTCTCTCTGTTCTTGTATCCAGAGAAGATGTGCGTTTTGACGATAACGAGGCCTAATGGTCAAACACGGTCCTATAAGACAGATCCCGAATTCTCAAGAAAGAGCGACGCCAAAGCTCAGGCGGCCGCCCGTGCTATAGAATTGGGCGCCGTTGATTTCATTCTACACGGGAATAAAGACACTTCAAACCCACGCCAAAGGGTTGTTCTAGCACCTCTAAACTCAACCGCCCCTAAATCGGAAGCAAAAGTCAAGGAAGAGGATCCGGTACCCGACGAGATCATAGATGATGATGCCAGTAAACAAATCGAAGCCCTCTGCGTGGAGTGGCGAGCCAGTCGGATTCAACCCCGATGGCGACCTTTCCGAGAGTTTACAGCGTCGCCGAGTAGGTGGTATCCGGTAGTTTATTTTGTCGTCGCGCTGATGTCATGAATTAGACTGGGGTTCCGTGTTGGTCATCGAGCTATCACCTCACTCGCAACGGCTCTACTCTGTTGAACCGACTCATGCCTCTCAAGCGTTGGCAAAGAAAGCGTGCTCCGAGACTGCATTGCAGCAAGGAGTAATCGATTTTATAAAGTACGGAAACGGCCAAACAGCGCCTGCGCCTGTTGTAACAGATGCTCTCGACGATGCTGCGTCTAGACAGGTTCCGAGTTTCGATAGGGGACGTGGATCAGCTATTTCCTTGCAATCCTTCTTTGATAGCTTACCGAAACCGTTTCCGGAACCAATCGGCGATAATGCTTTGGTAACGAATATCAATGCGCCTGGAATGCTTAATACCACTTTGCAGCAAGCTAGAGGAGCACGTTTGAACTTTCAATTCTATTACCTCAGTGAATGTGGCCGTACGTCGACTACAGCTATTACACGTCATTGAATTTACTCATTCTGCTTCTAGTGCACGGATGTATTCTACGATTAGATCGTCCAGAGGAGATGAGGACCTACATGGTAGATCCAAGATTTACTAAACGGACTGATGCAAAGTCTGCCGTTTGTCTGAGAGCGATGTCACAAGGAGTTGTCCCATATATCCGCTCACTCGCAAGCGCAATCGATAACAGAATTACTTCTGAGATGCGAAAGCAAGCGAACGAACGGATACTACCCATCCTTGGCTCTGAATATGGAAGACTTCGACATGGAATGCACCCGGCGTATGACTTTAACCATGACCAAGGCGGTAAGCCAATATGCTTTGCCTCAAATTATGCCTTGCTTATGGGTACTGTTCCTTAGCATTCGGCTGTACTATGACTCTCTCACTTTCTTCGGGTTCAAACCCAGATGAGGTGAAGTCATGGTCTGTAAAGCCTGAGTATCGAACGAAAACAGATGCAAAGATTGCTGTTGTATGCGCCGCCGGAGTAGAAGCCATTGAGTTTGTCCGCTTCCGGGGCGAGCCTCCTCCACCAGACCACGATCCGTTCAAACCATACAAGCGACGAGAGCGCGAGGGATCGTCCGAACAGCAGCGACCAAATCCCAAGCGACCGAACACTACAAGTGGTCTCGTACGTCTCGGACCATCCACAAACGTTCCCCTTCTAGAGACAAAAGAGGAGGCAAAAGCTCGGCAGGTGGCAACTGCAAGGTGGAAACATGACCGATTTCCTCCGTCGCGAACGCATCGCGGACAGTATCAACGCTCTCGCAATCTTACACAGACACTTCAGCCCTTCTCCAACTCTCATTACTCTCGAGAATATCAAGTGAACGAAACGTCTACTTACCTTCCTTATGACGATCCTCCTTCTCCTTCGACTGCTAAAAGCCAGAAAGCTAATACTTCAACACGAACTTACCATCATCAGGAGCTCCAGAACAACCATTACCACGAAGCACACGCTCATTCAACCTCTCACCCAACTTCTTCAGAATATTCACGAGCAGAAATTGAAAGATTACGTCCTCCACGAAGATCGCAGCGGCGTACTCAGCAGCTTACACAACATTCCTTACCTTCTGCTGACCAATCTTCTTATGCTGCGTCTGAACCCTTACCGCAGACCTCGCCACCAGCACAGCATACTATTCCGCAAAGTCCGTCTCAGCCGACTTCGTATCAATTCATACACTATGGTGCTGTATCGCAGCCGAGTCCGCCTGCGCCTCAGCAATCGGCCCCTTATCCCTCCGTTCCTTATCACCCTGGTTATGTACAAGCTCCCTATTCCTATCCGGTTCAGCAGAATCCACATCCGTATAATGGTTATCCCTATCCTATGACACATGTTCCTCCTACAACGCCACCTACGTATGGTGTACCAGCTTATCCCGCATACACGGCATACTACGCCGATCCACGGTACGCGCAGTACGCGCAGTACCCTCAATATGCAATGTCTGCAGCGCCATTTGCATATGCAGTACCCGTAGCGCCTCCCACTCCGGGTGTGCCGTATCCTGCTCCACCTCCGCCCGCACCGGCGCAACCGCAACCGCAATCACAGCTAACGGCGCCTGAAGAATCTAAACAGGAAAGTGCGAGTTTACCAACACCACCCGGTTCGGATGAACCCGCTGAGAGCAGCGCTCGTAGGACTGAAATAGCCGCTGGCGCGTCTGGATTGCCGCGAGCTGCGTCATTCAGTTCGGAGAGTGATCGCCATAAGCGACCTAGATCTCGAGACATGTCAATGTCGCCGGACGATTTGCAACTGCATAAGAAACATCGGTCCGAGTCGTCCATATCGTCGAGTGTGAAGCGGGAATCTGCGAATAGCACACCTATTCTTAAGACTCCTGTGTTAGAATCTAAAGATAGCTTGCTGTTGTCGAATGTGGAACAACTTATCCGTGAGTGATATAATTCATTGAACGGGATGACATAAATATAAATATATATTGATTTATATCCGTATTATCTGTATCGACAGAATACTGCGAATCAAACGGGCTAGTGGAGCCTGAGTTTGTATCGAAACAGGCGAAGAATGAACTTGGCCAGTCTGAGTTTAAGGTATGGATCGTAATGGGGACTGAACGGCTTGAGTTGCCCATCCTGTTCCAGTCTGAGAATGAAGGCAGACAGCGGGTGGCTAAACAGGTACTTCAGCGCCTCAAGTCTCAGTCTCAGACCAACGGCAAATAAATTTTAGGGGGTTCGTGTGTTGGGAATGGGAGGCATTACATTATGAAATTTGAAATGACTGGGTCACGAATACTTTACGGATCTGATACGATGACTTCATTGTGGACTTTTTATATTAATAGAGATAAATGTCGTGTTTGTGGCTTTTGTACGTTCTGTGCAGTGGAGTTCTGCTATGATGTATGCTTTCTTTCCTTTAGGAGTTTCATGTTTGTTACATTGAATTGAAAATTCGACAACATGTTGAAAGTGGCAGGTATTTTTGCGGGTAAGACATGGTAGAAATAAGGTTTTGCATCCCCCTTACCTTCCGAGGATTGGCGTTCCTCGTCACGTTCTCGGGAGAAGTTGGGAAACTGCATCGCATCCGCTTACCCCTCGACAACCATCTTGTACATTGTCTGCCTTGTCCTCCCTGACAAGCCTGCTATTGTCCTTGGTTTCCGGGATATTATCAATCTATAAAAAGAATGATCACGGTATGTGTGGAGGTTTGAATACCTATATTTTTGAATGTCGATTGTGGCTTGATCTTAGGAGCACATGAAGCTGCAACGCGGTGTTCAATGTTGAAATAATCGGGTCACATGTCGTGCCTGAGTCGGGCATGCGGGTTCCAGACTTGGAGAAGTGAAGGAAAGGAGATGAATCTGGAATGGTTTCGCAAGTCGGCGTCGGCTACGATCACAGTCCTGTGTACTAAAAATGGCCCCTGGCGCCCCTCGGCAGCGGCATGCATGGCCATGTCCGTCGGACCCTCAATTGGGTGTCTCATACATATGTATTATGTATGTATGTATGTATAGCTCAATTGGGGAGACCCGAATATAAAGTCGGGGTGATCTTACCGAAGGTTATAAGGCATCTCGTTGTACTCTCTGTACTTCCCCCCTCGAGCTTCTTTATCTCTTTATCTCGTTCATTCGGGCCTTTGACTTGAGCAACACTCCTTACTGCTCTGCAATTACCTCTTTGACGCTGCAATAATGAGGATAACATCTGGCTCTCTGGTGTTCGTAACGCTCTTTGGAGCTGCTGCCGCTGCGGGCTACTCGAAAGGTGTCTCAAAGGGACCGAGTGGATCGCACACATGGTCTACGCCTACGCCTACCCCGACTCCGAAGCCGCAGAAGTGCAAGTGGGGTCCTGTTGAGTGCTGCGCGGGACACACTGAGTCGGATAGCACTCTTGGACAGTCAATCCTTGGGCAGTTCAGTATTCCCAAACCGAGCTCGGCGGTGGAGATCGGATACAACTGTACTTCGCATACTGATTCGGATATTAATGAGGGGGTTTGGTGAGTCCGGTTCTAAGTTGTAATTAATATTTTTGTTACTGATAGTTGCCTCTTCTTCGTAGTGGTCACAACGTTTATTGTTGCCAGAAGATTTACAACGGGACGCTACCAGGAGGGAAAAATACCACTGTTGGTGTGGACTGCGCCGACGTAGCAATATAGTGCCCTTCCCTTCATTCACCTGCCGCCCCCACATTTTTCTATCGCGCGACGCGGGTGGAAAAACGAGGCGTCTGCATGGACTTGCATCAATAACAATGTCATTCGCCACACTGTATTCTCCTCGCGTCCCCATTTCTTTTCCCTTACACGCTCCACGTTTACATGCTTCCTGATGATGCCGAACTTCAGAGTTTCTTCTGCAAGGTTCTATACACTAGACGATTTCGGGATGGACTATCGTTTTATTTTAAAAAAGGACACTATCTTCTCGACACGAGGTTTGGATGGACTTATTCTACCCGTTCTTTCCCTTTTCGGACTCTTTACAATTCCGGTTTTCTCTTCTAATTCGGTGTTGCACTTCCAACTTGGTTTGATGTTAACTTCTCCATCCATGCATTTGCACGCATTCGCCACGAGTTCTTTTGTTGTGCGACGATCATTACTTTACTAACTGTACCATACGTGCTATTCGTTCTATATTTGTAACGTTCTTTATTTGCATGTTTACACCATCACCGTTCTTCTACCTTTTAATAAATGTTTGCTACACTCCGAAAAATATCACCCCCAACGCAGTTTGACTGTATGCGTTCTTGTCTGAGATTCAGTTGTGCCTAGATGCGGGGATAATTTGCCGAGTGACGGAATCTTTCACATTCGACTCAATTGCTACTTTATTTGGATAAGTCGATCTTCCTTCTGGAGTGGAGAATGCCCGCCTCATTGCATAATGTTGGAATAAGAGCCCGCTCAAAGTATTTCATTGTGATAATGTGCTTTTGGATGAGATTCTACGTTCTTGTCTGGACACGGTTACATATTTTATGGCATATATATATGAATTTCAATAGCTTTGCAATTAAGACATCTTCTATTATAGTGCACGTGCCTACGTGGGAACTTCTGAGCCTGGAACTCGAGGCTAGTCGACCTTCGGCACACATCTTTTCGCTACGACCTCCACCCTGGGCAACATTGGATTGACTTATCTACAGTTTGCTTGGGGTACTTCGAAATGTACCGCTCGGTAACAAGACGAGCGGAAGGGCGAAACATTACTCGAGGAGCTCTGCCACTCGGAAAGACGGCGGCAGACCATGAGACCACCGGAGCCGGCGACCCCTCGCCGACAACTCAAACCCACTGTACTGAGCGGTCCGAGAAAGCCTCGCGGAAGTCGAGACCGTTAAGCGGTTCAACAAACAAGCAAATAATATCCGAGACGAGGAACATCGACTCGTCAACTTTGTCTAGTGCGCAAAGTCAGTGGAAGATGGGGAGGTCTGTGACTCCTGGACTAATAACGGACGAGAATGATGATTGGATTCTGAACCAACAAGCACCTGCTATGCCCTTGTTGAATGAGAGACCGCCTATGGCGAGGTGTCGGACTAGTTCTTCAGGCGGATCGAAGAGCAAGAGAAAAGTTGAGGAGAAGAAGTCGGCTCGTTCTTCTTTCCATCAAGATGATCCTGTTGTAGCTGGTATTGTGCAATCTGGGGACGACGATCAAGTGCGCATCACAAGAGCGCGTTCGCACTCTGCTTCTCAGGACAAGGCGCCATCACTCAAGCGTAGACTCTCCTGGTCAAGGAAAAAATCTAAACAAGAAGTGCCGCAAGAAGAGGAGCCTGACTACAAAAAGAGAGCTAGCCAACTAGGACTGCCCGATATTGAGAAGGATCTAGTGCCTAGTCTCCATGATACTGTTCACAAGATGACTGATAATCATCAGATCTCAAATTATGTTTCGAAGCAATCGGGCCGGAAGGCGGGATTCCCTTCCACGATGCTCGCCGGCTTGCTTTCTCCACCTATCGTAAACGAAAGAGCTGCCTCTCCAATACCGTTCCGGCATACCGCGTCTTCGCCTGTGGAGTCGGCTTCTTTGATTTCAAGACGTCAAAGTCGTAGCCCGCGAATGGAAGCATATGACGAAGGAAGTGACGCATTTGATCATGGTATGTGAAAATGGGCGTCTTCTACAACAGTACTGACATGATTGAGAAGATTTGGATATGCGAACGAAAGTCTCAAAGAATGGTAGCGCAGAAAATAATAACCAGAAATTTCCAGGTAGCGAATATGACCATGTCATTTCCGAACCGAAGTCGAAATCCGCTCTGAAAACAGCTTTGAGGACTCCCCGTTCTTACAAGAAGATCCAAACTCGTTCTCTTGCAATGGAGACTGACGATTCGTCTTCTTCAGAGCCGATTCTACGAACTCCGCGAGTTCGATCTTCGAGAAAGCATGCTAGTCCTCTCTTGTCTACCTCTCCAGTACAAATGGTCTCAAGTATCCCTTCTCCGAACTTCATGTCGCGTTCGTCTTCATCTGCTTCGAGACCGGATAAATCGCCTTCCCTGTCGCATTCCTCTGAGCACAAATCGCCTAGGCTGCCGAGTAGCTTGCGGTCGCCTTTGCTTTCTGCTGGCCAGGTCGACATGACTTCTCGGCGTTCGCGCTCGCCAAATCATATGGACAGGATGGGTGGCCCTGCAAGGCTACAAGCCTCAAACTCGCCTGTCGCTAATCAAAATGAGGATGTTGAAGGAACGCCAAAGGCATCTCGCATCGCTTGGAGCAGAAGATATCAAAATACAACGGAAACGGAGAGCAGCGCTGACGAGAGACTCCGCATTCCTAACCAACTTTCTAATGCATCTCGGGTCCGCTCAGTATCGGCGAGAACTTCACCTAATCCTGATTATGACAAGAGTCGTTTGGGGAGCCGCATGTCAGTAGTGCAAAAGCAACCAGCAACGGTAATAACAGAACAGAGTGCGTCGGAGTTTTCTGAACAAGAACCTATGCCCAGTGATAAAGCGTCTGAAGATTCTCGTGTTCGACGAAATAATGAGCTTGTTGATCTAGTTGCTGGTCTTAATCTGGATCTTGGGCACCGGAAGGACAGTCCCGTTTCTGTAACGCGTCGCAAAATAGCGTCCTCCACAGGACATTCCGCTAAAGGAAAGGCTAACTCGGTCAATCAGTCCAGTGATTCTGCTCAGCAAGTTGCTATCGGCATCGCACTAGGAGCGTCCAACGGGCGCGCGTCCTCTAGGGCTAATTCACCTGCTCTGAATGAAGATAAAGTTTCGCACGACCGTGATGATTATTTGGCTGTGCCAGTGCCACATGAACAAGGTCGTCCTGCTCGTTGCTCAAGCACCTCACGAAGACGTTCATCAACTCCGAGACAAGATGCCACTGAAGCGAGTACGGATGCCAATCAAGCGAACAACTTCCTCAAGCCAGAGCCAAAAGCCGCCAATCGCGACAGTCTTCTCATGCTCAATGCTGATCGTCAACGCGAAGCTTTCGGAATCCCACCTTCTCTGTCTCGTGTACACGAGTCGAATGAAACATTGTCCTCTGAAGAAAGTAACTCATCTCTGAAGAATCATACAATAGACTCTGATTGGGAACATGAAGCCAGTGATGGACTCGGTTTGAGTCACGGAGCGGAGAGGTTATTCCACGCACTTGGTATTGGTGCCGGAGCGCAGCATGGCGAGGATCATCAGCACGCAAGGGGTCATCGAGCATCACGGCGCTCCAGCATGGCGGGAGCTGAGAAGTTCTTGGCAGAATTCGTGTGCTCTCCAAGAGCACCAATGTCTGCTAGTTCCTCGTGTTCTTCTATTTACGAAGACGACGTGCCGGACAGACCGTGGCAGAAACGAGAACGTGACCTTAACCGCGTGCAAAGTGGCAGTGGCGCTGGTGGGAGCAATTCTGATGTGAAGTCCTCGTGGAAGAGATCTCTGCCTCATTCTGCGTATGCTTCTTTGCTGGAACGACATGGTGAAGTTGAGATGCGTCGACAAGAAGTTATCTGGGAGCTTTGTGAGACTGAGCTGGTGTTTCTGAGGAGCTTGCGAACTGCGCTGAAGGTCTTTGTTAGCCCATTACTTGGAAAGAATCGTACCTGGGTTTCTGGAGTACCAAGCAATGTCTCGAGGCTACTAGACTGGCTGGAGGATATCTATCAGTTACATGCAAAGATAAGTTCTGCGCTACAACACACTCGCTCATCTCAGTATCCTGTCGTACTCAGGATTGCGGAAACACTTAGAGCTTTTGTTCCGAAGTTAGAGGTATATCAACCGTATATTGTGCGCCTGGATGAAATCTTAGGCGATATTGAAGCTATGATGAAGGATCCGAAGGATGAAGTTGGCGAGTTTTTCCGACTGCAGAGTTCTGCTGAAGAATGTGCAGGAACGTCTTTCGCTTCATTCCTATGGCTGCCTCTCATGAGATTGGGGAAGTACCTCAAATATTTCAATGTGAGTCTCGCACTTGTGGGTACTACTCTTCCGCCGTTGACATTCGATTACTAGGAACTCTGGGACCTCACTCCAAGGTCGCATGTTGATCATTTACCGACGTTCTCACTGCTCCACTCTGCGACAATAGTGGTACGCGTAATGCGAGAGGTGAAGTTACGGGAAGAGGAACATGCATACGTCAAAGAACTCGTCTCACGAATTCGTGGTCTTCCGAATGCTATGCAGCTGATGCGACGAGAAAGGCGACTTGTCGCGCATGGAGCTCTTCAACGTGTTCATTTTAGCGAGAGAACTAAGGATGCGCTCGAAGGGAACTCGTCCTTCAAGCCTGGAGGAAGACATGCACGACACGTTCGCTATGAAGAAGAGCAACGCTCGACAGTACGGCGTCGTAGAGCTAATTCGTTGGATTCTTGTCTTTCCGAAGGAACTTCTATGGGTTCTCTTTCGTCTGCTGCTTCTAATTCATCTCTTAATGGCGAAGTGGCACATCATCCCCATGCTCGTGGAAAGCCGTCGAAGACGACGGAGCTGTATGCATTCATCTTTACTGATTTGGCGATATTCGCGACTCCCACTTCCCATCGAACCCATCGAGTGCATAGCGGGAAGGTTCAGAATGATCTAGAATTGCTGGACGATATTGGTATATGCCGTATCCTCTCTGTGACAGATCACTCGGGAGATCTTGGTTCGTATTTATGCATTCATTCGCAAAGTATGGACTAACATCCTTCGCTAATAGAATATGATAACTTGATTGGCCTGCACATCCTTCCTATGGACGCAGACCGGCTCGACAAAGGCATTTTATCGGACACTTCAGCGACATCTCTGTTCGTGCATATCCCAAATTCACGTAGCTCCGGTTCGCAACCTTCGGATATTCGACAACGGTGGTGGGATGCATTCGAGCGATGCTATCAATCTACTTTACGATCATTGTCCTTCCCTACTCATTCCGGGAGATACCTTACTCACGGTCCAGGAGCAGACCAGGACGAGAACACGAAACAAACCGTTATGGCCATCCTTGCATCTGGTCTTCCACTTCCGAAAAGCCCATCAGCCCAAATCAGTGAAATCGAAAAGAACGCGGCAGAGGACACTGCCTTGAGGGAACGCGAAGAGAGAGGGTGGTGGGCTTTACGTTTTCAACAGACTCTCCACGAAACGCAGCGAGAGGAGTCGTTGCGGTTGCAGTCACAACCACAGAATAAACCTTACCTTCCTACGGGAACTGGAACGAAACGAAAGACGATCTCAGAACGAAGACGATTAAAGCTTAGTAGTAGCGGAAGGAATTGATATATGCAATTTTGATTCACTAGTTGCGCTCTATGGCCCTCACGATTGTCATTCATCTGCTTCACGATCAATGCTTCACGAGTCTTGTATCGTAGTGTCCTGCTTGCAAGCATATATTCTCAGTTGCATACTTTCATCTGCATTGTGAGCTCAATAATACTATACTATAAATCGCGTTTGCCTGTGGAGTATTAAAACAACAACACAAACATAGATCACTAGCAGACTAGTAGCAGTGTCCCAATGTGTGTGTGACACATACAAAGCAGAACTATTCCAACACTACACGAGGACTTCCTTGTCCACAGATGCTGCACTGGGAGTAGCAAGCATGTCTCCTGATTCAGTGATTTCTGGTGTATTGGCTGGTACAGTAGAATCGGATCGCTGATGACTGTGAGCCAAAAATTCAACGTTAGGAGGATCAATCCCTATAAAATTGTTTGGGACATCCTCTCAGACACATGAAGATATATAAAAATTACTGACACAGACTTACCTGTCTCAACCTCATCAACTATGCTCCTTTCCCTTTCAGAAGAGGACAGTTCAGACCTCTGCATTTCCTCAGAGTTGTGTCTCTGTAAGTTGGGCTGACCTTGAACACAATCTCATGTCAATCACCACCAGATTCAAAAATTAAGATGACAAACCTAATTCAATAGTATTGAGTTCTGACTGAGGCAAAGTTGTGTGTGGTCTTATTGACTGAATAAGCCGGTGAGGCCAATATTGCAACTTTTTCTTCCACCAATGTAGGCAAAATATGGTAGTAAAAATATTTGGAAATGTAAAGGCCATTGGGATAGAAAGAATAAAGCATGCATAAATGAAAATCAAGGTAGCAGGGACAGTAGCTCCTTTCCCCTAGGGTATGATTTTATTATTGTTAGTTATTTGCTAATGAATTGATTGATACTTGCCGGTAGATCAACAAGGAAAGCAAGAAGACAAAGAGCAACAAAAAAAGATATCATAGCGATTGCTAATGAATAAATTGGTCCATTCCGGAACCATTTCCAGACAACAGATGGGAATACTTCTTGAGGCTGACGTCTACATGCTAATAAGTAACCATTTATAGCACATTAATATTAATGTTAGTTCTTACCGGAAAGACTGACGCCATATCATAATGATTAGGCTTTGTGTAGCTGATGCCATGCTGAAGACAAGCGATATGAACCAGAATTCGTTTGTTATCCCTGCCAATACAGAATCAGGCCCGCCAGTAGGCCCAGTACTGATCTGTAGTGTTGTTGCAGTGACACTCGATAGAAAAGTAGCAATAGTGGTCAGATTCAAGTACCGCTGGTTCGAGTACTGTTCACTCCGTTGGATTACTACAATGTTCTTTAGTTGTCTTCTTAAAACAATTGTTCTCAAATCTGAGAGCTGCCAAACTGACCCTGCTCAGTAATATCTGTAAACTCTTTGAGAACATCTTCAAGGGCATTGGCCAATGGTTCTAGGGTGAGGTCAATATGAGCATTCATAATCATTGTGCCATCCTCTGGAAACTGGTAGCGTGCAGCTGCAAGATCTGGTGAGAAATATAACATATTAATAGAATGGCTTGCTAACTTACATAGCCTGTTGTAGTGTATAACAGTGAATTTCTGTAGCGAATTAGAATTAAATCCAGAAGGAAACACTGTGATGTAACAAACATTGAATTCATCCCGAAAGCGACGCATACTATCTTGAAAATGTGCATTCTCAAGCTGTATCCCAGCTTCAGATAATGCATTAGTCAATATAGAACTATCACTCCAAACACCATATAGGAACGGAGAAAGGAAATTGTTGACGTCTACTAAATGAATTCCATATCAATTTTGTACAATGGTCAAAGGCCCTTACTGATGTGTAATTTCCAGTCATTACTTGTATCGGCCCTAAAGGAGAGTAAAACATGAAAATGCATTGAAAGAACAAATCAACACACCATTTCCTGTGTCCATCATCCAGATCATGCTGTAGATGGTCGTTGTACAGCTCTTTTCTCACGCCGAGTACGATAAGAGCATTTCGGAATTGAGAGCGCTGTGAAACAGTTCTAACAGATTAGCTCCATTATTATGATAGACAGCCTACAAGCTTGCGGTAATTTATTTTATATAGCCTGATCAAGTAATCAGTAATGTTCGATTATATTAGAGAAGTAAAATAAAAAACAACAAGCAAAACAAAGCATACCGAATTAACCGGACAGCATTGGGTGCCCGAAACGCTCTTTCTATCTCTATTCCTTCACCAATGTCTCCTATGGTTGGCTCATACTGATCTTTCGTTTTTGATGTCTTGGACTTATCTGTCATATCATTCACCTACCTTGAAAACAATTTATAAAAAGGCAACATACTACGTGTAGCATTGTTCAGAGAATCTGAACAGGAAATTAGCTAGAAAGACATGAGATATACAAACTATAGCCTTACCAATGATTTCTTTTCTGTCTGTGTTTATGTGAGTTATATTTCAAAGTTATTAATGAGGAATATAGTGTTGAAATCCACAAATAAGCTTACCTACACTGTCTTCAAAGTGACACTTCTCATTGAGCACTTTGTTCAAAGCAATTACAGCATCATTTATTTCCTGAAAATTATTATTTGTGACTGTGGCCGATTCTCCAGAGCCCTTGGTTTTCTGCCTAGGAAACCGGCGCGATACACGATCTATTAGCTGCTTTAGTCTTGACACCATGTATTATCTTGATAAAGCAGACTTACTGCGTTGAGCATAAAGCGTTGACATGCTTGCAATATCCCAACCCGAAATCAAGGTGACAATGGGGTGGATCGATAATTACAATAATGATCGAGAAAGACTGGATGCAAAGGATTTAAATGCTCAGCCCAGCTGCTGTAAGCATGCGCTCTGATCGCTTAAACCTGATCTAGCTGTTGCATGGAAGACAGCAGACTGATGGTGATGCGAATAATACAATATAATGTAGACGCTGGCTTGTAGAAAAAATTTCCGAGAAATAGAATGCTGTGTAATTTGTTCATGCATAAGCTCCTAGTGTCAATTGGTAGCGCCTGTTTCATAATACATTGATAACTTTTTGAGATTGTTGTGGGATGCATTACCACAATTACAGTACTTATTTCCTTGAATGGATTGTATTTAGATATGTCTAGTTAAACCTCATCTGACCTTATTAGAAATGTATAATACTAATCATTATCTGACAATCTGAGATCACTCGCTGTCAAGTTCTCCTCTCCCTACCCTGTTTAGTCCTTGCTATTTGTAGTAATATCTTGGGCTGCTCTACTCGAAGAAGATTTGCATTCCTTTGACGTGCTTTCAGGAATTCTTTACAAAAGGATCAGTCTAGAGTGTTTACAATGTGAAATCGAAAAGAACGCAGCAGAGGACACTGCTCTAGGGAACGCAACGAGCGTGGGTGGCTGGTTTTACGTTTCCAACAAGCCCTCCACGAGATTCAGTGGGAAGAGGCGCTACAACCATTGCTTCGGAACATGCTTTATCTTCCTACATCTTTTACGATCTCCAAACGGAGGCGTGTAAAGCTTAGTAGTGGCGAAGACAGTTGATTAAGTAAATTTAATTGAATGCAAATGTGGTCAACCAACTGCGCATTGATCACGCGTCGTGGTTTCTTTTTGATTCGTCATGTCATACATGCTTTATCATGTCATGCCAAAGTGTACCTCTGTAAATACCTATTCTGCAGTGATCCGATCCATCCATCGTGATCGTATGCCCAATAAAGGAAGAAGATGCAAGAATAATGCGAATGGATGCGATGTAGAGCCAATGAACGTCTATAATTATTGCCGAGCAGCTAATGCTGAGAGAAGAATGTCATAATCCGTTTTGGCAACTGGAACGGAGAAAACGACACGTCAGAATCAGACTTAGATTTTCGTAGTGAAGAGTAGATACGAAGCACGCACCTTTTAAAACCATATGGAAGAAAACTCGCGCAAGTTCCGGATGTTCCGTCTCAAGCTTTGCAAGTTTCTCCATCGACAACCTCCACAAAACCGCATCCTTCTCAACCACGACTCGTGCATTACGGGGTAAATTCGACAACGCGGACAACTCTCCAGCGAGAGTCCCGCCGACCATAGACTCTTCAAACGTGTCTTTACGATCAGGGAAGCTGTAAATCGCGCGGAGGACTCCCGATTCGATGAGATAGAGCCCATCAGGTGGGTCGCCTAGTTCCCAGAGTGTGGTTTTTTCGGTGGCGGCGACGCGCTCGAAACTAGCGAGTAAAGGGTGGAACTGGTCGGCGTTGACGTGTCCGTAGGAGCTGAATGCTCTGCTGAGGGAGATGTAGACGTTTTCTGTGGTAGTGTCGTTGGAGGACGGGGTAGTGGTGGTGTTTTGGTTGGTCATATTGTCGAATTCGGAGTGAGGATCTACAGTGCATTAACAGAGTTGGGTTAGAAACGAGTCTCAGGATATGTGTACGGATAGGAAGAGGAAAAGACGGCTATGAACTGACCGATCTCGAGTGTCCGACCTGCTGCTGCATGTATCTCGTTTCGCCGAGGTGAATGGATGAAGGACTCTCCCATGTGGAAAGAGGGTTGCTCTTGCAGTCGGCCTGGAAAAGCTAGCATGATAACATAAGTATCGTGCATTTTACTTTTACTTGATGAAAAGTGAGCCCTACATATCGCTTTACACGATGCATCCACTTCGCTCTTCTGTCCCATGAACCAAGCCTTAAGGTACGCATTTTCCGTCCACTCCATCGCATCGTTAAAGTTACCAAATAGCTCAACGCCATCTTCTTCAAGCAGCCCTACACTCTGCAATGCACGTCCGACAGAAGACTCAGCCGTGAACCCACAAAGCACGATAATGATATCTCGTGAAACCAACAGTCGTTGTATGCGCATAAAAGCTTCTGCGGATGACATATCGACTCCAAGGACGAGCGAGAAATCAATAACGAGGAAGCGAATTGGATTGTGTTGCCACGCGGAAGGTTCAACGAGAGCGCGGACTGCTTCTTCCACTTGCGTGATCGTGCCAAAAAAGAGAAATCCTGGGAACATATAAATTGTGCGGCGTCAGTGTTGATGCAATTTTATGGATGATAGAGAACAACATGCCTTGGAGTCGGAGCACGATAGTCTGCTTAGCGACTTGGCGGATATAGTCTCTGTGAGCGCTAGGCCTGCGCACAGCAGACATCGCAGACTCTCCAGTGAACATCGCTCGAATGCTGCGTCTTCGAGAGTTCTGTACGACAAAGAAGAAACCTTCGGCACAAGCCCATCAGTTCCCGTGCCAAGTAATCTACAAATGAAAATGCATTATCACTCACAACAGACAACGATCCCGAATAGCACGCCGATGACGAAATCCCACAACGTCATACAGACCATAATACTAATGATAGTAAGATACTCGGACCTATTCACGCGGTTGCGCGTGTCCCACAGTGCCTCCTTGACAAGATCAATGCCGAGGACAAAGATGAGAGCACCAACAAGCATAATCGCTAAAAGAATAAAATTTCGATTAGCATTAAACGCAACAGAGATGGCGGTTGGATACTCACGGATATATCCTATGGGTTCAGTCCCGACGACGAGCAGAAGGAAGGTGGCGAGTGCAAGCAAGAAACCGGAAACGCGAGTCGTGCCACCGACGCGATAGAACAAGAGCGTGTTCACGTATACCAAGTAGTTAGGCCTGCAGAGGAAAAAAAGAATCGAGCCGTCAATGTAATGTATAAACGGAGCCACCAGCAGACTCACACAGTACCGAGAAAACCGGCAAATAAATTCGAATAGCCGTGTGCAACGAGCTCCTTGTTGGTGTCCACGTCCTCGTTTAACGAGACGGCTGAGTTACAGAGCGATACCATTAGCATTATCTGTTACTATCGGCTGGGGGGTACCTACCGAGAGCAGGAACGTTTAGAGGTGGATGAAGGATGTTGAAAAATAACCTGGATGTTGTTCAGTTTAACTTGTCCGATCATACACAACACTCAATTACATACAGTGCAAACTGTGTAGGCATAGTCACCCAAAGTGCCCTGAAGCTCGTATTGTTCCAGTCTTCCGAAGTACGATATCGTCAGTACAGATGACAGCATATACACAACTGATGGATGAACCCACTAAAGTACGAATAGAACTTGTACCACGCTTCCGAAGAGCCACCCATATCAAAGACCCAACCCGTGCGCCGTAGCATCGGAATATCCAAACGAGCCGCTCCAACGATGATATAGAAGATCGCAGGGATTAACATGAAATCTAGGGAAATTAAAGGAAACGTGAATAAAAATGTTTTCGTGCATGGTTTGAAGTGAACACGGACAGATAGGAAAGATGAGCTGATGATGGAACCGATGCGTGATCAGGCGCAGAAGAACCGCAAGTGCGAACGCCGGTAGCCACAACGCAATAATATGCCCGCTACCAAAGAAAAACTTGAGCGTCTCAAACGAGTAGCTAAACTCGTCATCGTCGATCCGTGCACAGACTGCCAGTCTATACAAATGACAGGATCGGATCAGCGTACAATTCATTTTTTAACGGAGATAACGGAGGCGAAAGTCCGCAAGGTCGGAAGCGAAATGACTAACCCCGTTTGAATGAGGAACACACCGACGCCGCCGATACACCCAACGAGTATGTGTCGTGGAAAGAAACCGATCACAACGCCAAGACGGAGATAGCCCAGTAGAAAGAATGTTAAGCCTGTGAGTACGGAAGAGAACGCGAACGCTGCAATTGTGGTACTGATGATGGACGCGACATTTTCCTCGCCAAGTTCATTCGTGATCTCAGCGGCGAGAATGTGGAAGAATGGCTACGAAGGAAAGAAAATGAACTATGTTCTTGGCATGAAATGTTTGCGGTAGTGATACATACGACAACTTCGATCATCATACTCCCATTTGCGCCAGCGAACCCGCTTCCGCCGAAAGAATAAACAAGTTGGGATACAATGGTACTGTAGAGCGTGGAGCATTTGTTAAGCAGGGTTAGCATGGAAGAGAATTGGCAGACTGTACGTGACGAAGAACATAGAGACACCGATACCACCGAAGTTCGTGAAAATGTCGTTTGACGGAAACATTATCATACCATCTGATCAGCCCAGAGGTATTAGTCACGTAAATGAACAAGTCCAAGAAGAACGTGAACGTACATGACACTCCGTCAAGAATGTTCAATAGCATTCCAAGGAGAACAGCGGGAATACTTCGCAACGCAGTTTCGCCCACATCTGCCGCGATCCTTGGCGACGCTATGCGTTGCACAGCAGATGCTACCATCCCACGTATTTGCTTCATCTTCCAAGTCTTTTTCTTTCCACTAGGACTACTCCCTGGACCAGCCAGTATACCATGGCCATTGGCAAAAGCATTTCCGAAACCCCCGGACGAGCTAGAGCTCTTTCTTCGCGTCCACTGCCACCATGGACGCCGAGGATGAGGAGAAGAAGAACGCGAGCGTGTACCATAATATAACGAAGGTCCTCGCGAGGACTCCGCTGGAGATGAAGAAGGCAGGAGAAGCGGCGTCTCCTCGTCCGATGGCATCCGAATCGGAGTTTCCTCAAGCGGTTCGGACTCCGGGACGGGTTTTCGCCTTGGAAGTCCGGAGCCAAGGACAGCGTCTTTCCCGGCTTTGATCTCGTCCTTCGATGGTTCCTTTGATTCTTCCGGGCGTGAACGTTGTCTTGCGAGAAGTAGAGAAATGCCGGAAGGTGTACTGGGGACGACGGGAGTCGGGCCACTGGCACCTATGGGGTAGTCCTCACTTCGTTCACGCCCTGTAGCGACGGTTTGTGGAGTTGCCGACTCTGAACCCGATGACACGGGAGTTGAAGCGGGAAATGATGACGAAAATGGGGAGCGTGAAGCGTGCTGTCTGGTCTGATCTGCCTGGTTGATGTAAGTCTAACAGGGGTAAATGAAGAGACGTCAGTAATGATTAACCTCTACCAAGCGTGTCCAAGGCGCGGCGGAATGAATGAATAGTGTCATACAGATCGGAAAAGTGGATAAGATACTTGCATGCAAGATTTGATGCAAGGTTGAAAACTTTATATATTATAAATTTATGAATCCAAATCAGAACCCACCTCACTAGACCGAGATCCATGTTCATTCTCATGCTCGCGCACATGTGCGCGCTGAGAAACCGAACGTGTGCCAGAAGAAACGTGGGCGGAAGAGAGTCGAGCAAGATCCGCGGCGGTTAAAGGTGTACGCATCTGGTGTGGTCCGAGGAACGGCAGTGACGGCGGCGCATTAGACGTGCCTTCATCCGCAGGTGGAGACCATGGGCTGCGTGGAGGAAACGAGGAGGGACCACCCGGTGTGAGATGATCTGGGTATGGACGAGGCGGGAGCGCAAGCATCGAGAGCTGCACGGTGCTTGCTCGAATGTCGTCTGGAGTCCGCGAGAAGAAGTTGGTGTTGTGGCTAGGTTGTGCAGAATCCGGGTTCGGACTTGCGCTTTCAGCTGACCTGTTCTCGGCTCCGGACGTAGAAATGGAGGAGTTTGAGTTAACTTGACCACTCTCGACTGTGGAGGTATGAGACCGCGACTGGGACTGAGTACCTGCAGAAAGGAAGTTACGTGGCTGCAAAAGACTAACCATTAGGTTAGCGGTGAAAATTTATTCAAATGGATGGCCACAGAAAAGTAAGAGAAGGCGCCATAGCAAATTGATTACGGACACTCGGGATGGGATACCAATGATCCGAGAAGCAAATTATTCAAAACAGGAATAAATGCGAGAAGCAGGATGCAGTAAACGGTATAATTGACCAAGTGCCCTGCTTGAACTTCCGAAGGTAGTATACAGCACAAGACAGGGGCACGAAGTAGCATAAAACATAATATGGGACGCATATAACCAAATCGAACTCACCCCGCGCGGGACCAAGAGTGACTAGGTTCGCCAGTAGAAATTCCTCCGAACGCCGTGGGCATGTTCGTACTCAATCTGCGCCGCATATGGCGCTCAGGTGACGCTATACGAACGCCAGCTTCGGAATTATTGCTGTGAGTGACATCTTCAAGTGGCCTTTTCGCGCTCAGCTGGTACAAAATATTACGTGCTTGATGTTCGTGATCTGAGACTTGGACTTCGTGACTCGGATCACGAGTGATACCTCGATTGACAATGACGCGAGGAGCGCTCACACTAGCAACAGATGATGAGGGTGCTGCTTCAGATTCCGCAGAGACATTCTCCGTGGCGACTGCATTGCTAGCTGGCGATCTGCTCATGCCCAAATGCCGCAAGAAGTCCAGTTAAACGACCTGGTCTTGAAAGCGAAGCACTTCGCGCTAAGGCTGGCCGCCAGAAAGCCTTGCACGCAGAAACACAAGATGCCAGTCCGCAGACACAGGGGGTCGTAGTTGGAATGCAACAAATTTCTCGAGTCGCTTGTCTGCACCGACCGTTATCGGGACTTGGTTATTGCCTGGGATACTCCTTCCATTTATAGCATTTAATGATAAGCTTCGGGTTGTGACGTCACGCGTTTTCTCTTCCGACGCGCTTTCCGATACGATACCAATTGATAATTTAATTAAGTTGATATGCGACGTGTATACCTATAAAAGCTACTCCAACAGACGAAACCTTTGCTGAGCAGAACCCTTTCTGTGGTACATTTTGTCTCTTTCATCTCTCTTTATCTCTTGCTGCGCTGAGGAATGAAAGTTTTGGCCGCCTGCACAGCAATGTCTAGATTCTCGCACCGACACTGCCGATCAAAACTGAGATCCGGTGGTGAAGATCCACTGAATTGGCGCTACCAGGCCCCCTTCCTTCCTTTGACTGAAAAGTTGTTAGGCTAGCAGGGCCTTGTCGATTCGGCATAACTATCTTGAGCTTGGATTGTTCTTTGCCTTTTTACCTCTACCAAGCGGACCGCTCGGTCCCTCGATAAAATAACTGCAACTTTGGATCGGTGCTTTTAGACATTGCAAATATTTCATCCAATCCGCAAGCAAATTGGAGTATGCACGCGAGAGTAAATCGGTATTCGGCACGCATTCTCGACGATACACCTTAATGGAATTCAACAGGGCCAAAATCCAAGTGTATTGAGAATATCAAAAGGACCCGGTTTCTTCGTTCGAGACGTACCTGTCTCATTTAATCGAGGACAGACGTCTTCTTGGCCTAAAACTATAGAATGGAGTCACTTATCTACCAATGATGTTTCATCAATCTACTTATTCAAGATTCAAGCCATGTCACGATCTTGCAATTCTTCTTTGAAGTAAATCACCAAGGTTTACATAATATTCAAACCGTTACAAGGAGCAGAACCTCAGGCCAGGACATAGATGCTATACAGACAACGATCATGGCCTAAATCCATAACGAAACAGCACGCATAGAAATATTCATATTCTCATATCAGCGAGTTCACGCCACCACTTAGAGGCTGAGGTCAAGGGGGACGCAGCCAATAGCGACAGCTCCTATAAACGCCAAGTAAGTATTTAAGAATTATCCAGAGAGAGTACAGATCTTCATTACCATGGCTGGTGTCAGAGCAGCAGACCGGGGAAGCATCACAGCCTGCACTTCCAGCACCAATGACCTTGAAAATGAATTAACATTAGATACCGTTGCCTGGAATGTCAAACAAACTTACGGTGATCGGTGAGCAACCAACGCCAACAGGAACGTTGACGTCTTGGAGAACGACGCCGAGAAGACCCAATTCTTTAGCAATAGCGGGGTCACTTGCTTTCCCAACGGAGCTGCAGCACTCTGCTTTAGATGTATCGCACTAGAAAGATGTAATCGTTGGATCAGTATTATGACGAGAAATTAGCGGATGGATTGAATAACCTGGCCGAGCACTGGCGTGGCAACCGCAAGAATGATAACAGAGGCAAAAGAAGCAAGCTTAGCAAACATGGTTGTCTGTGAAGCTGAGTGCGTAGAACGACAAGTTGGTCTGTTCGACTGCTGGACAGTAGTTTTGCACCTCCCTCATTTTATACCGTAAGACAATGGTCTGTGCGTCCTCCAGAAGAACTGACTGACGTACAGTCTGCACAAAATTGTTATCTCTGTCAAATCTGAGTTCCTCCAACAACAAATTAGAACCATCAGAGTGGAGTTAGAACATTCTCAACACACAACCGCGGCGAATCAGTATCACTTCTTTGTGTTCTGCGATGAAATAAAGAGAAGTAAGAATTCGTGAGAACTCAGTAACACCATGCACAGCTTGATGTGATGAAATACAGATTTCATACTTATTTGATTGTTTAGAACTGTGTTCCTAGTGCCTTGGAGCCGGAGAGAAGAGATTAAAATTGACACGTATGCAGGCGGTGATACGACGACTGGTATAAGCACCTTCGTCTTCTGATATCATTCAGAACACAACACCGCTGATAAGAAAATCCGCTAGAAGATGATTACCCTTTCATTGTATCCTTAGTCTCTACAATGTAACGTCGTTTGTTCGGTTTGCACGCGCAGCACAATTCCGACATTACAAATCGATAAAATGAGGAGGTGAGTAGGCTGTTAAGGGACAGTATCAAACGAACGCACAATTTCGGAAGATGGGAGAGTTCTGTGTGCAACATGATGATTAATAATAGAAGAAGAAGAGCGCTCCAGTATTGTGGGCATTGATCATGTAAGGATTCCTCACTTAAAATTAATTTTGGATGGCCAAAAATGCAATTAGAAGGAGAGACGATTGTGCCTTGGAGTGTTGCGGAAGTAAAGACATATGCATCACAGAAAAAGACGGGACCGGAGCCTCGTGCTGAACACGAGGTATTCCAAATTAATTCAATGAATTGCCGGTCATGAGTGAGGTCATAAATGACTTCAACGAAACAGTTAGCCAACTTGTTTTCCAACCGATGTTGATGACATGACAGAACTTGATGTCTTTCGTGTACTCTGAGTTTTGAGTTGTTTGTTTGTGTTGTAATGTTGGTCCGCTGGCATGCAAACATGGTAACAAAAATTCAAAATGTGAACAAATAGGTTACGTAAGCGTTTCGGCGATCGACCCCGATTGATCAAAATTGATGGACCGGTTGGACTTCTATGATTAGTATGAACTTCAATGCCTCTATACTACTCCTACAGTCATTCCTCAAACGTGATTTCTGCTAAATTTTACTGGCCTGCAGGTCTTGCGAAATCCTAGGAAAATTCGCACTGGTTCTGTGTTTTTCATTTCACGGTACCCCAAATTCTTCGTGCGTAAGGTTGTACTCTGCTGCACATCCAAGTGGACCACACTCGTTTACTGAGCCACTCTTCTCTATCTCAATACTCTATACAGTTTTCTATTAAAGTACTACTCAGCACGTTCTGGCAGAATTCCTATCACTATGCCTACGTAAACGTTGTCCGACGCTGACTGAGCGAGTCCTTGAAAAAAAAATCTGCTCACGCTCGAGAAGAGACACTGTTTTATCTGATGGTACAGGCTCACCCAATATCAACGATTCCATTGCACTGCTTTGCAACTTTGTCATGGTTGCTAATATGGCTCGACTGTCATGACGTATTGTGGGCCTCAACAAACACGATGGGTTACTCAGATGCCTTGCTACTTTGCTCAATAGTTTCCCTTTGGCATTTGATCCCGACTGTTTAAACATTGGCCATAGGAACCACGAATTCGGCCCTGACCTACCACTTCGGCAGTCGCAGGTAGGAAAGAAAGGCTCTTCCCATGCCGATGTACCACTTATTGTCATTCCGTCCCGCTCTCCATTCCTCTAGGCCACCCCGAAGCGCGACGACCTAACCCGTCACAACGGTATCTACTAATATAGACATATTTCTGCACCACCTCTTGCTTGATGAATGTCGTTGCACGTGGAATCTCTTAGAAAGTCGTAACTACCTTCTACCTCGTCCAAAGCTTGCAGCAATAGTAGGCCAAAGCATATTCTACTGGCTGAATATTTTTATCTGTCCCCCTTTGACCCCGTTGAATATTTATTGGGTCCTGACAGAATCCGAGACGTCAGAATCCTTGCTTCCCTGCTCTTCCGACTGTTTCGACAAGTTCTCTCGTGTAATCAATCATCTGAGAATGACGTTCAAACTTGCAGACCTTCCTACAGTGCGGGACCTTGAGGCAATAGCTAACGCCTCCCGTGAGGACATCGAGGACGGTTTACGCAAGATACTTGGTAAAGAATATCCCAATCCCTTGGCTGGTAACGATGCTTCCTGGGAGGCAGGAACTTTTTCCGGCAACGACAGTGGTTTCGACACATCTACTCCTCAGGAGTCCGATC